TTCCCCTCCACAGCCCCAGCACTTCAGCAAGTACTGGGGTGGCAGAGCAGAGAGCGGTGACTGACAGTCACCACTCTCTGCTTAGAGCGGCTGTGAGAACTCAGCGATCAGTAGTTATGTGATCGCTGAGTTCTCACCCTTAGAGCCGGCAGGGGACACATGCAGCATCGGACCGATGTTGCATCCACCTAGGTAAGTATAAATGGGGAAAAACAAAAGCCCTACTTCACTTTTAAGTGAAGCTGAATTTTCTTTAAATACCCAATTATGTGCAAGTGAATTTTAAAAACAAGGATTCTTCTAGGACATGATTAGGTATTGAATATGATCACAACTTCACCTTCTATACTATACTTTATAACATAAAAAAAAAGACAAAAACAAAAAACGCTCTGTCTTTCAGAAAGGGCAGCCTCAATGGCAGGCCAGGCATTGTTCATGTGGAGGGTAGAATGCACAGGGTACAAGCCAAGCAGAAGAGAAGCCCTAATGAATACCACATTTGTTGCTGACCCCTTCTTGCATTTCATGCTATTAATGCGATGTAAATCTCCTTGCTGAGATGGAAATGTTTGACTCTAGACTTCCCATAGGAGTGTATCCATGCACAATGTATTCATTCTAATTTTATTATTATTAGTAAAAAGAAGATTGGTTTTGCTATTCGGTCTCAAAGGTGAGTGTTATACCTATACAGTACTGGACACTTTTTTTTACTGAATGAGTATCTATAACCAACTGCAAGAAAAATTCAGAATGGAATGTTGCTGCCCTCTGTTGGCTTCTTTCTATGAGGGAACCTGGTGGTTAGAATTTGTAACAAAGTAAAAATATCTTTGTGATAAGTCTTAGATGGAAGATGCCATCCTGCCGTTCAGAGGCTACTAGATTTTAGTTACGGATGTCACCTATGACAAAGCTGAAATGGTTTCGCTGTTGTGAATGAATCTGTGGTTGGGCAGTTAGAGAATGACATTTCTTTATGAGGCTTTATACTGGTATGTTGCTTTTGTCAGAATCCTATTCAAGGCTTGTTCATTCTGGGGCTTCATTCACATGGTTGTAAATACGCATATACAAGCGCTTTGTAATAACCGATCTGAGTGCAGCTACATTAATTAGATTGAACCATTCACAAGAGCTGCTTTTTGATCTGTAACACAGAATCCAAAATTCTGATCACCCCATATGCCATACCAGTGTCTTGATCACCGCCATACCTAATACCAGCATCCTAATCATCCCATATGCCATACCAGCTCCTGATCACCGCCATACCCCATACCAAAATCCTGATTACCACCATACCCCATACCAGTATCCTGATCACTGGTATACCCCATACCAGCACCCTGATCACCGCCATACCCCATACCAGCATCCTGATCACCGCCATACCCCATACCAGCATCCTGATCACTGCCATACCCCATACCAGCATCCTGATCACCGCCATACCCCATACCAGCATCCTGATCACTGCCATACCTCATACCAGCATCCTGATCACCGCCATACTCCATACCAGCATCCCGATCACTGCCATACCCCATACCAGCATCCTGATCACTGCCATACCTCATACCAGCATCCTGATCACTGCCATACTCCATACCAGCATCCTGATCACCGCCATACCCCATACCAGCATCCTGATCACCGCCATACCCCATACCAGCATCCTGATCACTTCCATACCCCATACCAGCATCCTGATCACTGCCATACTCCATACCAGCATCCCGATCACTGCCATACCCCATACCAGCATCCTGATCACCGCCATACCCCATACCAGCATCTTGATCACTGCCATACCCCATACCAGCATCCTGATCACCGCCATACCCCATACCAGCATCCTGATCACTGCCATACCCCATACCAGCATCCTGATCACCGCCATACCCCATACCAGCATCCTGATCACTGCCATGCCCCATACCAGCATCCTGATCACTGCTATACCCCATACCAGCATCCTGATCACTGCTATACCCCATACCAGCATCCTGATCACTGCCATACCAGCATCCTGATCACTGCCATGCCTCATACCAGTATCCTGATCACCCCATATGCCACATCAGTGTTCCGATCACCACCATACCCCATACCAGCGTCCCGATCACCGCCATACCCCTTATCATCACCCTGATCACCATCCTACCCCATACCAGTGTTCTGATCACCCCCATACCCACATCCTGATCACGCCTCATACCAGCATCCTGATTACCCCATATGCCATATCAGTATCCTAATCACCGCCATACCCCATATCAGCATTTTGAGCACTGCCATACCCTATACCAGAATCCTGATCACCCCCATACCCCATAACAACATCCTGGCTACTGCCACACCAGCATCCTGATCACCACCATCCACCATGCTAATGTCCTGATCACTGCCATACCCCATACCAGCGTCCTAATCACTGCCATATGCCACACCAGCGTCCAATATTTTAGGATCTCAACTGATCAATTTTCAAATATATATCCTGTAGTTTGTAAAATATATAGCTTTCACACAGACTAAATGATATAAACTGTTCTGGGTTATTTTTACCTCAAAAATTTAGCAGAATACATTTTGGTCTAAATTTATGAAGAAAAATGATCTATTTGCAAAATTTTAGAACAAAAAACTAAGCAAACATTTTTTTTTCAAAATTTTCTGTATTTTTCTAAAAAAAAACGATTAAAATTTCATATGGATACAGTGTTGCATGACTGAGTAATTGTCACTCAAAGTGTGATAGTGCTGAAAGCTGAAAATTGGCCTGGACTGGAAGGGGGTGAAAGTGGTTAAAGTGGTTAATACATGCGTTTTTGTGTCTTTAGCATAAAAAAGGTCCTGCCTATTTTTGAAGATTGAGGACACCACAACACAAAATGATCATATCTTTGTGTGGTGGTACTCCACAGCATGAGTGCCCAGCAATTCATTGTATATGTGTGAAGGAGGTCAGTCAACAATAAATGGCACTTTGGGATTTAGTTAGTAAAGCTGGAGAGTGAAAAATCAGGCTGACTTCTGCATAGAAAGCAGTCAGCTTCCAGGTTTTATTGCCAAAGCTTCATTAAACAAGTTAAGGTTAGAAGCTGATTGGTTTTTTTCAGAAGTGAGCCTGATGCTACAATCCGGGCTGCTGTTAGACACCACAGGGCCCAATACAGCCGACCTGAAAGAGCCTCCTCCAAAAACAAAAAACAGAGTTTATGATGCTTCAGTTATGAATGAATACAGTGAGTGATCGGTACCAATCACTCATTGTGTTCATTCAGGACATAAATGGTCTGGTACATGTGACATATTTACCAGACCCATCCCCCACTCTCCATTCTGAAGGATCCTATTGTGTGTTGAGCAAAGCTGGCAGCACTGCAGGGGGTGCCTGGGCAGCAGAGGGAAACATATGGTGCACAGGGAGGGTGATGGATGCATCGGAGGGGGTAGCAATTACTGGAACCAATCCCCTATATGTCTGCAGCAGCTAGGAGGGAGAAGGGAAGCTTTCAGCTGCTGCAGGAAGAGCCATTCAGGGGATCGGTTCCAGTAATTCATGCTGATCACCCTCCTTGCCCACATCCAATTATCCCAGCTGACCGGGCCCCCCTGCTGGCCTGGGACCCATACAGGAGGACTGGTGGTACCCCCTTATCCACGGCCCTGGTTGCACTCCCCAGCTTTGATGAATGAACCCCAGTGTGTTGTCATGTGTTAAAGTGTGTTTAAATGCAGGGCATGATAGGTATTATGGCATGTAGTGTGATCAAGCCCTAAAGGTCAATTCACATCACGTGTGAGAGGAGTGTGTTGGGCAGCTATCCAGCGCAGCCCCACCGCAATACAAGGCAAAATGCTTTACCTCCTACCTGGCCAGTTCACACCACTGTGTTGCAGCTGAGTGGACTGAAAAAAGAAAATACTGAATGCAATCCTCTTTTTCAGCACAACGCAGTGCAATGCAATCCTCCTCCTTGCAGGCAATAGAACTTGAGGAGATGTCACCGTGTGACATTTCAAAAAAGTTTGCTTAAAAAAAAAGTAAGAAGCGTGATGCACCACGATTGGCACTGCTTTCATCCTACTGAGCACCAGAGGCTGTGTTCTAACACAGCCAAAGCCCTAAGCCCTGGTTCACATCTGTGTGGTCATTCAGGCCGCGATTTGCGCAGACACGAGAACCCATTCATTTGAATGGACTCCCGTGCCTTAGGACACTGCGGCACTACTTTGGAAATTGAAGCTTGCTTGGGAACCGAGGTTCCCAGTACGGTTGCGATTTCCATTGCGGGTGGCGTGCCATTAGAATTAATGGCAAACCGCCCACGGGTCCTGCATTCCTCTGTGTGGTTGGTGAGGCTGCAGGAATTTGTGCGGGTCCCACAATGGCAACACCTGCACAATAGTGAATCAGGCGTAAGGGATTAAATATGAATTCCAGCCTTACCTTCATTCTTGTGTATTGTAGAGGTTCCTAAGGCCTCATGCACACAGGACATTTTAAAAACACTCCTCCTCTTGGCAGCAGTGTTTTGGAAGACAAAATGCCTCATCTTGTTAAAGCGTCTAACGACTTTACAAGTGTTTAGGCGCATTTACAAACGTCAAGTGCTTGGGCGTTAATTAACCGCTAGCCTACAGGGCACTTATACCCCCTTCCAGCCCAGGCCAATTTCCAGCTGTCAGGGCTGTCACACTTTGAATGACAATTGCGCGGTCATGCAACCCATATATGCGCATTGTACCCATATGAAATTTTTATCATTTTTTTGAGACAGATAGAGTTTTCTTTTTTGGTGGTATTTAATCACCTCTAAGATTTTTATTTTTTCTTAAACAAAACCAAAAACCACTGAAAATTTTGAAAAAAAAAGTTTTTTCATAGTTTTTGTTAATAAGTGATTTTTCTCCTTCACTGATATGCGCTAATGAGGCTGCAGTGATGGGCACTGATAGGCTGCACTGATGGACACTGATAGGGGGCACTAACGGGCACTGATGAGGAGGCACTGGTAGGTTGCACTGATGGGCATTGACAGGCATCACTGATGGGCACTGAAAGGCAGCACTGATACATGACACTGCTATATGGCCATGATAGGCTGCACTGTTAGGCGGCACTGACTGGCACTGTTAGGCAGCACTGACTGGCACTGTTAGGCGGCACTGACTGGCACTGATAGGCGGCGCTGACTGGCACTGATAGGCGGCACTGATGCGCACTGATAGGTGACACTGACTGGAACTGATAGGTGGCACTGATTGGCATGATAGGTGGCACTGACTGGCACTGATGGGTGACATTGAAAGGCAGCTCAGATGGGCACTGATATGTGGCATTGATGTGCACTGGTATGCACTGATATGTGGCATTGATGTGGCACTGATGGGCACTGGCACGTGGCACTGATGAGCACTGACTACTGGCACTGATGGACACTGACAGGTGGCACTTCTGGGGCCACACTGATCATCAGTGCCCTGATGATCAGTGTACATGTCCCCTCCGCGGAAAGCCAATTACCGGCTCTCCTCTCCTCTCGAGCTGTCAGCGTGACAGCTCGAGAGGAGAGAAATACCGATAACCGGCATTTCTGTGTTTACATGTGATCAGCTGTGATTGGACACGAGCCGACATCTTTGGCTCTTTCTGTGACCCGCTGTGTCCGAGCGACACAGAACACCGGTGAACGCCGCGCTGCGCGCTCCCTGAGCTGCGCATGTGCGGTGAGAATGGAAGGACCTCATATGATGTCCTATCAGAACGAGAGAACCACCTTGCGCCCGTCATTGTACTATATGGTGGGCGGAAGGTGGTTAATTTAATTGGCCAGAATAATCATTTATTCTGGCCATTGAAATTAATTATGCTCAAGTGCTAAATGTAAACTAGCGTTTACACGCTCATTTAGATGCGTTTAGCTGTGTTTACATGCAGCAAGTGTTTTTCCTGCCAAAACACTGCTGCTCCTGGACACACTGGACCTGAGTTTTTTAACTGCTTGTAAACATTATTGGTACTAAGAGCTTCTAGAAGTCTATGTGTGTAGAGACACATAGGATAATATGGAAGGCTGTTTGAAAGCAGTATAAAAAACGCCTGACGCCCCTAAAAGTGGCTGCAAAAATGCCACGTGTGCATGCATGAGGCCTTATGCTTAAAACACTTAGGCCCCATTCACACTTCTCCATTCCTGTACATTGCCCTAATGCACATTATGTCACTCTCAATGTGCATTGTGTTGGGGCAGCTTATTCATTTTGTATGGGCTGCCAATGCAAAGGAATGAAGAAAAAAAAAAAAAAATTTCTGATTCTGTACACCAAAATGCATGTGCAATCCCATATGGAAGAAAAATATATTTGAAATATATTTTTTAAAATATTCTTCCCAAATATATTGGCATATATTTGAAATGCTACAATTTTGACCATATTCAATATGTTTCAATAAATATATATATATATATATATATATATATATATCAGGGGCGGACTGACAACTCATGGGGCCCCCGGGCAATAGGGGATCATGGGGCCCCTGTGTCCTTGCCCAAACTCAAAAAAGCCTATGAAAAGGTACCAGGGGCATCTCATGGGGCTCCCTACTGACCCGGGCCCTCAGGGCACTGCCCGAGTTTCCAAATGGTCAGTCCGCCCCTGATATATATATATATATATATATACACACTGCATGTTGAAATACGTTTTTATTACTAAATATATGAAAAATATTTTTAAAAATACATTTCAATATACTGTGTGTCTTTAAAAATACAAAATATATATTTTTAAAATATATTCTTCAGATTTTTATACATATTTTTTTTTATTTAACATATATTTTTACATATATTTGTAAATGCAGTACAAAAATGTAGATTTGTATTTTTAAAGACATACAGTATATTTGAAATGTATTTTTAAAAATATTTTTTATATATTTTGTAATAAAAATTTCAACATACAGTGTATATGTACAGTATATATGAAATATGTTTTGAAATACATTGAATATGACCAAAATTTAAGCACTTCAAATATATGGTAATATACTAGGGAAGCATATTTTTAAAATATATTTCCAGTATATTTTTCTTCATGTGGGATACCATGAGTTGTGGTGTGCTGCACTCCATGTGTGATCAAGCTGTGTTTTGCCTCAGTGTGTCAGTGTAGTATTTAAAATGTTGTATTTAAAATGAATTGCTCTAATGCATGCAGTGTGGGTGTCAGTAAAGGACACATTATTGTAATGCACACACAAAAGTGTGTATCAGCTCTCAGCCGGAGAGCTTTCACTGTGTGCATTAGAAGCTGCAGCAAGTCAGACAGAGCCTAATTTCCTGGCTTGAAGATGTTCAGCATCATCTAACTCCTTTGCTCCCACCTCCTCATTTATTGAGTTTAATCTCTTTAAATCATGGAAGCTCAGCATCACATGTGGCCATTGCCTAGGGTGGCTTGCATGCAAATTGAACCTAAGAATGTCCACTCATTTAGACTAACATTCACCCGTCAAGGAATTTTGATATTTGTATAATTCTTCCCAAGAACCAACCCACTACTTGCATCAGGACAGAGGGCTCTTTAGAGGAATGCTGAGGCAGAATACTGTGATATTTTAAGATGTCATATTTCATATGTCATTTTACTGCCCCCTCCCACCTGCCATGATTTACCTGCATTGCACAAATAAGCACAGAGACCCAGTTGATGATGCCATCACTGCGTCTAAAATACAATGAAAGCTGAAAGATTTTATATATTTAACCACTTGCCCTCCTGAGGATTTACCCCCCTTCCTGACAAGGCCATTTTTTGCATTATGTCGCTGCGTTATTTAACTGACAATTGGGCAGTCATGCAACGCTGCACCCACACTAAATTGACGTTACTTTTTTTCCCAGAGCTTTCTTTTGGTGGTATTTGATCGCCTGTCCGTTTTTTATTTTGTGCACTATAAAAAAGAAAGACCGACAATTTTGAGAAAAAAAGCTATATTTTTGACTTTTAGTTATTAAACATGTCTAGCAAAAAAAATTTCAAAATCAAATTTCGCCATAAATTAAGGCCAAAATGTATTCTACTACATGTCTTTGCTGAAAAAAAAAATCCTAATATGTGTAAATGAATTGGTTTATGTGAAAGTTATAGTGTTTACAAATGGTAGTATATATACTGGAATTTTGTTTAATTTTTTACTAGTAATGGCAGCAATCAGCAACTTATAGCGGGACTGCGGCGGGCATTCTGACATAGGGGGGAATTGACTTGGTGTCACTGACATCTCCAGTGACACCAATACAGTGATCAGTGCTAATTAAAAGCACTAACACTGTACTAATGGCACTGGGCAGGAAAGGGTTAACATGTTGGGCGATCAAAGGGTTTACTGTGTTGTGTGCCTTAATAACTGTGTGCTATGTTTGTGCTTCTTTGTAAGCACACTGCTTTGTATGGCCATGCAAAGCAGTGTGCAGGAGATGACAGGGGAGAGAACTGTATAGTTTACAAACCGTTCTCCCCCCTGTCGGAGATGCTCAGTAATCACCAGGCGCCAGCGAGTAATCACAGGCTGAGACCTGGTGATTGACATCCAAGGCTGCAAAATGCAAAATCACATATATATATATATATATATATATATACATGATTTTGCCTGTGCCCACCTTGTAGCAGTACTTCTGCTCTAGGGCGGGCACAAAGCGGTTAATTAACATGCTGATGGGGCAGCAAAGAAGGAAGAAAGAAGGCAAAATATTATCAGATTAAGCTTTAAAGTGGATGTAAACCTATGAAATGAAAAATGAATAAATCATATTTCCCTATAGTTTGTACTTACCTCAATCCAAAGCACCTACTATGATTTCTGAATCCCCTCTCTTCCCTCTGCTATCTGTATGAGTCACTTCTGACAGTCTATGCCAAAGCCACAGAATCCTGGGAGATGGCACCACCATCCTCCTGCACAGAGAAAGTGATTGGCAGCCTCAGCTGCATTTTTCTGTATGACACTGTTTGCATGGAGGGTGTATCCATTTATCCACTAAGGTCTCAGATTACACACAGCTCCCTGCTCTATGATGTGCAGCTTGTAATGTCAGATCCCTGCCATCTGTCTTCTGAAGCTGAGAAATATCCTTTCATCTGTGAACTTTAAATGGCTGTAGAGGAGAAAGGATTGCAAATAAACAGATTTGATTCATAACAGCTTTGCTTCGCTTACTAGTGAGCTATGATTGGCCCACAGTTATCACATGGTGCCTGAGCCAATCACAGCACCCTGTAGCATGTGATTAGTTGTAGTCAATCACAGATCACTACTATTCTGAACTGTCATGAAATGAACCCATTCAAGACAGTTCAAAGCATTGCTGGTACAATGATCTTCGTTACACCAGCAATCAAAGTGTAAATAAAAAAAAATCCCTGATCACCCCCCAGAGTAGTGCAATATTACTATGGTAACATTGAAATACTCTGATGAAAGCATTTTTTAATAGTAAAAAAAAAAATGTTAAAAAATTAAAAAAAATATTGAAAATATTGAAAAAAAAAAATATTTTACTTTTTTTTTTTTTTTAACATGCTGTCACCAGTCAGTGTTCCTGATCACCACCACACCAGTCATATCATGATGCTGTACTGCGCTGGTGACGGTATGTAAAAACAAAATTGTGTATTTCTTCATTTTCCAAACAATTGTGACAAAAAATTACAACTTCAAAAAACTCGCCATGGCTCTTACTAAATACCTCAGACTGTCTACTTTCCAAAAAGGGGTCATTTTGGGGGTATTTATGCTGTCCAGGCATTTTAAAGGCTGTCAGTACATCAAAATTTATCAATTTTCAAATATATATCCCATAGTTTGTGGATGCTTTAGGCTTCCTACAGACTGAATAATATACACTGATTGGGATTTTCTTTTTTTTTTTACCAAAGACATACAGCAGAATACATTTTGGCCTAAATTTATGAAGAAATTAGATTTTTTTTTATTGGGTATGTTTTATACCAAAAATAGAAAATATCGTTTTTCATTTATATAATACAAAATAAAAAAAACCCAGTGGTGATAAAATACCACCAAAAGAAAGCTCTATTTGTGTGAGGAAAAAAATTATTAAATTTAATCTGGGTACAGCATTGCATAACTGCGCAATTGTCAGTTAAACTAGCGCAGTGCTGCATAGCAAAAAAAATGGCCCGGTCATGCATGGGCTAAAACCTTCTAAAACTGAACTGGTTAAAAGTGCACATACATTAGGAGATGTATAATGAATGATGTTGGCCAGATTCATAACAATTATAAAAATCAAAAGATGCTGCTTGTGGTACCCAGGTGGCTGTTATTTTATGGGAGAGGGTAAAAAAGAATGTAATCATTGTATTAGTTGCTTTGCACTTCTCTCCTACAATGCATCCCAACTCAGCACCAGCGATTTC